AAAGCAATGGAAATCTTCATGTTGAAGGCATACCTGCACTCCCATGTTCATGGCAGCTCTGTTTACAATAGCCAAAATATGGAACCAACATCAATGTCCATCAACGGATGACTGGATAAAGAAACTGTGGTATATCTACACAATGGAATACTACTCTACCATAAAAAAGAATGAAATTCTGCCATTTGCAGGAACATGGATGAGCTTGGAGAAAATTATGTTAAGCGAAATAAGCCAGACACTGAAAGAGAAATACCACATGTTCTCACTCATAAGTGGGTGCTAAGAAAGAAGGAAAGAAAAAGAAAGAAAAGACCACAATAACACATTGATCTTTCAGAAGGAGAGAAGAAATCTATGGTTACTAGAGGTTGGACAGGGGAGAGAAAGGGGGGAGAGGAGAGATTAGGTAAGGGGCATAGAGAATAATTACGATTTGTAGTAGTTAACGTGCAAATAATATTGATTGGATTAACACATGTTGTACACAGGTGATGGTAGTCAACGTTGTACCCCCAAATACATATAATCGATCATGCTTCAATTAAAAAAAAATTCTTACCTCCTGCGAGAGCAAAGCCCCTCAGAGAGAGGCTCCTCAGCTGCTGTGTGGTGTCCTTGTCAAAGGGCGAGGAGCTGGCAGCTGACGAGGGAGGTGTGGCTCTGTCACCCTCGAGTGTGTTCTTATAAATAGATGTCAGACATTAACAAAAGTAATTTTATTAATGGTCATTATAAATTGTTTCTTTGCGAATTAAGTAATCTCGTCAGGAAACGTTGTCTCCTGTTTCTCTGTAAGTATGTAAACTTGGAGTACGGTGGTTTTTATGTCCAGGCAATGTTAAAATATGTTCCTGTTGGTCTTTACTTCTCGGTTAATGTTTGGTTGGAATATAAACAGTTGTCAGGGTAAAAAGTGGTGAGCAGAGAAGATGGAAAACCACGAGTGAAAAGGGCTGCGTGATGAGTTTTCACGTGATCTGCTTCATGTTAATATGTGTTAGGAGCAATTCCAGTGGGAATCACCTTTCATCAGGCATTTATATACAGAATGTAGGGGCCTTGAGAAGAAATGGGCTGGGTGGGGGTTGTTTGTGACCTTCCAGTCCTTACTGGCCCCCCAGGTGAACCCTCAGAGCACAGAGCCCACCAGCCCGTGGGTCCCCAGATGCTTGCAGCTTTGTTTAGAGTTTGGGTTAGGAGAGTGCGTTTTTGGAACAGCTACCTGAACTGGCAGCAGGACCATCCCTTATCCGAGGTTGTGCTCTCCTAAGTTTCAGGTACCAGGATCAAGTACTGCCTGCAAGTGTTCCAGAGATAAACATTCACGTAGATCTTATTCTAGTATATTGTTGTAATTGTTCTGTTTTTTCTAGTTGTTGCTGTTAATCTCTCACTATGCCTAATTCATAAATTAAACTTTATCACAGGTATTTATGTATAGGAAAACATCATATATTTGGGATCGTGTGCTCTCCGTGATTTCAGGAATCCACTGGGGGTCTTGGAATGTGCTCCCTGTGGACAAGGGGAGACTGCCGTAGTCACTTGAGGCAATGGCTCAGAGACTTTGAGTCCCTCTTGGAAATTGCTGGACAATAGAGACACAGATGGAACCCCTGGGGAGCCTCTTAACTCAGAGTCTGGGTCCTGGGCCTCTTCCTGGTGGTGTCCTCAAGAAGTTCCCGGGACGGCCTGTGGGGCAAGCTCTTTCCAGGCGGCTGTGTGACTACGTGCTGCCCAGGCCGTCTCTGTTTGCCCTGCTGTTTTCTGTGCCCTGTCTCTGAGCCTCAAGCAGCGGGTTTCTTGGTTCTATCTTCCAATTTCCAAATTCTCTCCACCCTCTAGTCTCGGTGTCACTCGTCTGTGGAGTCTTCAACATCTGTGTTTCTCACTGCCAGACATTCCATACAGTAATTTTTCAAATCCGCCACCTTACTTCCTCTTTTTTCCCAACTTTTACTGCTGTATGATTTCATAGGCAGTCACCTGACATTCCGTATCACACCTTCCCTGTGTCTGAGAGTCTGTCACTTGTTGTCTCCACTGACTCTTACTTTGGGTGGTTTCCCTTGAATTTTTGCTGGTGAGCTCATATTTGGGTGGGCTCGCTTTTTGGAGCTCCTGAGGGCCTCGGGCACTTTCTTCCGGAAGGATTTGTGTTAGCCGCTGCCTGGAGGTGGGGCTGGACGGCGCCATCCCCTTGGAGGCCTTGGCTGGACTGGAGGGTGTCAGGTTGGGGATGGCACGCTGCGGCCGAGGCGGCCTGGGTTCCTGGCCCTGGCAGCCTTGGCATTTGCTGGCTGCTCATGGTTCCCTTCCCTTCTCGTCTCTTTCAGGGACTCCCCTTACGATCATGGAGCAGCTGTATGTTAAAAAGCGTGTTTGACTCTGTGTTGTCTTTTTTCCATATATATTTTCTGTAAGTCTAAAACTGAAAAATTAAGTTTACTTTAAGAAAAGCATGCTGTGGGACTTTACCCGGATCCAGCAGTACTGCCCTGGAGGGCCTCCCAGAGCCTCTGTCCAGCAGCCCTGCCCATTTGCCACTCGGCTGCGCCCTCCCCAGATGGGTATGGCTCTGTCCCTCTCCCCACCTTCTTCAGCCTCGTGGTGCACCATGCACTCAACGGCCACCTTCTCCTTAGTTCTCTCTTTGGCTTCTGGGACACCCCCTCTTCCGGGTCTTGAGTTTAGTTCGTTTGGGGTGTAAATGCTGCGTCGTAGAGACCTTCTGGTGCACTTTGTTCTGTCTGCCGCACTCTGAGATTGTAGTTTCAATTGTGAGCAGGCCGTGAAGTGAGCCCTCCTTCATACTTCTGAAGTTTGCATTTTGTGACTTACTTTTCCGACCTTTTTACGGGCAGTATATCTGATTTTGTGTATGGCCTTGCAGATTTACCTCTCATAATCTCAAGGGAATAATTTGCTTTTATTTAGCTTTTTAACAAGATCGTAGATGATTTATTGTGGGTGTGGAAAGAAAGGCAGCTTTCCAAGGTGTGATTGTGGCGCCTGCGAAGGAGACCCACGCCTCAGCTTCTGCAATAAAAATCAGAGCCTTGCGGGCGCGGTCTCCTGGCCAGGCGCTGGCTTGCTAGCCGTCTGCTCTTTCACTTCCCGTCTGACAAGAGGAGAGCGAAAAGTGGACGCACAGCTGTGCACGTTTTTACTATCGGAAAATGTGTCAAGGTGCCAGGCTACTCTGAAACTGGGTTTTTATGTTTCTGGGCTCAGGACCCATGGTGGTTTGAAACTTACTGTTTGTCTGGGCGGAGAAGGATGGTCACTTAGGTGGGCTCTCTGAGTCCTGCAGGTCGTGAGTCAGCCAGGTGAGGGCTGAAGCGGGGCTCCATGACAACACCAAGTCTGCTTGGAATGCAGAGGGTCACTGTCTTCCGTGGCGGGCGGGGGCCAGGGTTTGCGGCCCTGGCGCTGGGGGGTGGATGGTCACACTGGAAGTACAGGATACCAGTTTATATGTGTCGCTTGTTTTAAAATTTGAACTGCATCTGTATCCTTTTCGCTCCTTGGGGTGGAAGGTGGATGGTGCCTCCATGGCAGTGGGCAAGGGGGGCTTTAGCTGGAAGTCCTGGCTCCTCCTTTCCTTGGTCACCTCCCCCTCAGCCTTGCTTATTTGGATTTTGGTCTTAACCCCTAATGACTTCCAATTTTGGGGGATGGCCTGGGATTTAGGAGGAGGCGTTGGTGGTGGCCTCACGCTGAAGAGGCACAGCTCTGCTTCGTGAACCAGGTTGTCTGGTTATGGTGCTGTCCCCTGGCAGCCTGTGCCTATGGCACAGAGAGAGGATATGAGTGCGAGCCCTTCCCGGGCCTGGGAGGCCTTGGTGAGGATGGGGTCCTGGGGAGACAGGTCCTGGGGTACGAGCCCTGGGAGGCTTCCCCATAGCCAACCAGAAGCAGAAGGTTCGTTCTTACTTACGACATCATGGTCCTGTGCTGTGGACATCAGTCACCTGCTTGTCTGGCACAGCTGCTTGTGGGGCTTTTACCTGTGCAGTCTCTCAGGTCTGCCACACACTTGCTCTCAGAGCAGGGGCCTATGTGGGGGCCAGCATGCCTGAGCAAAGGCGTAGGTCCCCTGGCCCCTCACCTGCCCCCCAACCCCTCAGCTTCCCCCACCCCCCTGGCCTGCGCTCTCTGGATGCCTGCACATCCCAGCTCCTTCTCTGGATTCCCCTCCCTCCTGGCCTCAGTCCCGGGGCTATCACCATATCCCCAACTGACTGCCTCGGAACTGGCATCCCTGACAGGTTCAAGTGCCCCCCAGATAGTCTTTCCCAGACACTTCTAACATGCCATTCCCCTTAAGGAACTACCTGTGGCTTTTTCTTATTCTGCTTGTCCATGTCAGCAAAGCTGCAAGCTCCTCAGCCTCCTCCTTAACACCAGCCTGCCTTCCGGAACCACCTGTGTCTCTGCTGCAGGGCTTGTCTGTTCTTGTCCCTGTGCCTTAGACCAGCCACCTCATCTCCTTCAGCCTCTTGTGCTCTTCCAGGCTTCCCCCTGGAAACTTCTCCCTGACCCGTCTCTTGTGGCCGCTCCTCCACCACCTGGGCGAGCAGGTGTGGAGTCCAGATCCGGGGTCACCTGGCCTCTCTGGGCCTGGTGCGTGCTCGCCTCCTCCTGGATGTGGTGTGTCACGTGCAGAGTGGGAGACATCTGCTCATCCTGAAGTTTATGAAGCTGTTTTCATTGAGGCTGTTACTAAGACTGTGATGTCAGACATGCTGGGATTTGTTCTTTTCAAATGAAAATGACGATGACTTCCTCGTGGGTGTCACCCAGTCTGGGTGGAGCTTGCCCGGGCATCGGGGCCACGGCGCCTACCTCACTGCCCGTCCGGCTGTCCTCAGACACCTGCACCTGGATGGCATCTCTAAGAGCCTTCCCAAGCGCCTTCCCATTTTGTCCCGTCCGTCTTCCTGATTTTTGTCATGAGGCTTAATTAACTCATGTCTCTCTCTCTTTTCTTTCAGTCTGCAACTGTGTCTGATGGTGGTAAGTCACAATTTCTGATGTATATTTTTAATGTTTTAAATGAAGTTTTTGATTGTGAAAATGTATTTGCCATTTGATGCACTCAAAAAAGATGTTTCTTTGCCTTTTCCTCTCCACTTGTGGGAGGGTTTTAGTTGGAGATAACTTGGGGGGAGCTCCCTGGTGGCTGCAACGTGTGCTTTGGAGGCTGTTTGTTGCAGAGAGATGTTATGAACCTACACTTCGGAGTGACAGAGTGTCTGTGTGTCCAGGCGCGGCAGTGTGCTTGGGCCACAGCACATCCTGTGGTGTGTGACAAGTTAAAGCATGTTTCTGCTATTCCTGTGTTGTATAACCAGCTTTTAAACCAGCAAGTTCAGATTTCAAAGCACTTGCTGAATTTGAGCAACTCTGGAAATTTGGGCGAGACTCTCAGTTGCTAAGTTTTTCTTTTCTTAGGAAAAGTGTAGCAGATGAGTCAAGCGTGTGGGATGACGAGGAATCAAAAACTTTCTGCCTTCTCAGTCATTTTATGTGCAGGAATTCTTTTAACAGGACTGATCCAAAACGGACATAGTCAGAAATGTCTTATTTCACTTAAGGTTTGTCTGGTATAATCCTTATCATTTTAGTTCAATGATATTTTTTAAACCCCAAAATGATTTGGAGAGTTTTTTCCAAATATTCCTCATTTCTTGTAATACTCATAAAGTCCTTATGATCCCAAGTTTTGTTGTTGTTTTCTACAGCCTTAACCTATTCCCCTGTCTGTGAGAGTTGGGTTATACGGTGTCTTAAGGGGCACCAGCGCTTCATTTTCATTTACATGCTGGGTATGGTCTGGATCCAGATAATAGCCGCAGAGACTGCTCGGCTGGGGCAGGAGTGAGGTCCAGGGCTGCCCTCTTTTATAGTGAGTTAAAGAGACACGAAGTGCAGTTTTCTGGAAACTTTCTATTGTCCCACACCTGCCGACCTCAGTCCTTGGCCTTAGAAAGGGCCGCTTTCACCTGGCGGAACGTGGAGCATTAAGGCCTTGCACGCGGAGGTGCCGGCCGCCACGCTCTGCTGGGCTGGGCCTCTCCACGGGAAGCTCGGGAAGGGTTACATCCTGCGTTACACCACGCTGCTTCCTAACGCTGCGACCAGAACGACCCCAAAGCTTCTGTGTTTGGGATGCATTTCTTTGGATAAAAGGAATTATATTTCCTATATTGTGTACAATCATAATCATGTCATTTAATCAGTCTTAGGCTGGGAGTGGGAGGAACTTCCTTTATGAAAAGAAATAGCCCCTGTAACCAAATCCAAGATAAAAGCGAATGGTCTTTATAATATTCTGTTCATGCTTACCCTTTCCACTGTGTTCTAACTTCTCTTTTCTGGTGGGAGACATTGATCTCTGCAGGAAATTTATAAATTTGAGAGGTTTACTTAATATGTTCAGTTTAATCATATGTAATAATCTTTATTCACCTCTAAAAGTTTTTTTCTGTGAGCAGTGAATGCAGGAACCCCAGGGATCTTCATTACGTAGACCATTTTATAATTTTTTAAAAAGCTACACTTTCCGAGTGTGGGAAGTCCCTGGCTCCCAGCCCTCGCCAGCTCTGCGTGTCCTTTTTGAGGAAGTGGTGCTGGCTGGGTGGCGGTGACTCCCCTGTCTCTGGGGGCTTTCCACCCCAGCCCTTCCCACTCTTCTCCAGTGCAGACCCTGGGGCCACTAGGGACAGGCCCTCCCCTTCTGTGTGGAGTCCCGCTAAGGCAGAGGAGGGAAGCAGGGAGGAGATAGTGTTTCATGAGCACATCCTGCCTGTCAGGAACTGCACCAGGTGGCTTATTTGTGTTTTATTCGGTAACGTTTCATGTCTTATTATTTTTCCATCTTCAGTTTCTTTTCTGACTATAAGAGTAAAAGCAGCAAGTTCTCTTGTTTAGTTAGTGTGTTAATTCTGGAAGGTCTGTGTTATATTCTGCCATTGTTGCAGGTAGGGCACTGAGGCAGAGCAAGGAGAAATCGATCCCAATCATGTAGACACCAGGTGGAGTGACCAGGGCTCAGGCCTGGCTGCGGGGCTCACTGCACTCTGCACCCCTCCCTGCCCTGGCCCTCCAAATCCCCACCTCGCCTGTGACCCCCAGCCCCATCTTACGGGGGAGTTCCAGCTCCAGACCTGGACTCTCAGTTCCTGGAGCCCCCTGCCCCATCCCGTTTGCCGCCCCCTTCCCCTGGGACTCCTGCCTCAGGCAGAAATGAGACCCCACCCTGCCTCCACAGCAGTGGACAGGAGCTTGTTGAGAGGGTCTTGCTGGAAACTTGGAATGCGTTTCCACACAGCAATGTTTTTATAGCCCGTGGTCAGTAGCAGGTTCACACTCACCAAGGGGGGCCTGGGGACTCTGGCAGCACAGTTTCCGTGGGAAGAATGCACTCTGAGTTCCACACGGGGACTGAGGAACCAGCTTTGGAAAGCAACCCGCTCACACATTGGGGGCTGTCTCTACCTAGCCGTCCAGTCTGGTTTTGGTGATTAATGAATCATCCTTTCGGAAGTACTTCATGTTTATTTAACCATTCCAGTGAGGTAACATGGACTCACTTAACTGCTCCCGCGTCATGTATTATACGTTTGTTGTATATGTCCTCACCGTACGGTTTTGTGGCTTTAAGGAAATTGGACAAAGCTATTTTTGCAATCTTTGTCAACCTGAAGTGTGTTTTTTCACTTTCTCAGAAGGAAAGGACCTATCATGGCTGCCCACCAGTGGCCTCAGATCACCCGATGAAAGAAGGATTAGTGCTTGGTACCTGTAGAGGACAAACCAGGGCCCCAGGGTTAGGGGCAGGGAGCAGATTCTGGCTCGAGAGGAGGAAGAACATTCTAGCATTACAGAGAATCTTGATGTGTAATGATCTTCCTTGTGGGAAATTATTGAAACACACGTTCAAACAGAGTACCAACAGCGTTCAAAAGCAGTGTGATGTCGACCTGCAAAGGGGAAATGTGCAAGAGTAAGACCTTCTGACTGTTAGTGCAAGAAAGAGCCTTCAGTTCTCTGGTTCTGCGTGTTTGCAGGGCGCAGTTTTCTGGCGATGAGTGCGTATTCTCTGATTTGGGTCTGTTGTTGATTGCTCTGTGCCAAGCAGCTCTGCCAGGTTTTCCCTCCCACCCACCTCGACATCCTCAAAAGGGGATGTTTCCTGCCATTGCTGGGTACGTTTTTTGAAGTTGAGAACTTCAGTTGAGGAGTTACATCCATGTCCTTAGCACCTGTCAGTCTGTGACAGGAGGACAGTCAGTGGATGAGTGTGGCTTGGCTCTGGGGGATGGTGGCGCGTCCCCGTGGCACCCGCACTTTGGTTGCTTCGCATGTGCTCCACACTGGCCAGCCTCACTCCTGGCTTTCCCCTCCAGACTCTGGTCCCGAGTCTCCCCCTCCCTTTGTCCTCCTCAGGCTGGATGCCTTGACTGCCCAGCCCCACTCTGTCCATGCAGGCAGCACGTCCATCTGTTCCTCCAGGTTCCTGGGCCTCCCCGTCCCTGTGGCCGTCTCTCCCGCTCCCATCGCCTAGTGCCTGCCCCTTTATCACTTCCCCAAGCAGCAGCTGCAATCTGGTTGGCACTTGCTCAGAGCCACTGGGCACAGTCACCCCCATCTCCAACATGCTGTCACACAACGATCTGTCCAAGGAGAGTTGTGGCATTTGGGATGCCCAACAGACACCAGCCAGAGCCTAGTGTAAAACGGGTCAGGAGAGTGGCCTTCCAAGTTTTTTCTGTCGAGTAGTGACGCCCTCTCAAAAAACAAGTAAACACTTAGTGGGATCCCCTTATGAAGCACACAAATGCAGAAGTGTCTGGTTGAACCCCAACCACTTGGCCAGAGCCCCAACGTGGCCACCTATCCTGCCTCGTGGGACGCTCCGGACTGCGGACTCCCCTTTCTCCCCTGGCCTATGTGCGGGGACTCAGGGTGGTCCAGACGCAGACCCTGTCAGAACCTTTCTTTCACCTTGGCTTCTTTTTCCCTTTTGTCTTTTTCTTATTTGAGGCTTGTGGTGTGAGATTGCGCCCTCTTCTTTGGTTGCGTTTGCAAAGTTTGTGGCTGGTTTTAATCCTGCCGCCCCACCGCCATCTGCAGCGTGATGGGAAAGGAAGGCCCGTGTCCCTCTCCACTTACCCATGCTTCCTTGGGTGGCCATCACCTGCGGGGTGTGTTTGGTTCTGTTTGAAACGGGACTTTATTAGGAAGTGAAATGGGAAATAGCAGGCTGAAGCGAGGCCGCAGCCGGGGCTCTCCAGGGCTCAGCAGCGGCTCTGCTCCCACAACTTGAACAGGGCTGGCTAGGGCTGAGCCGCGCTCCCTGCGAGTGGCTGCCGGGCCATCTCTCCCCTGTTTCTGTCCCTGCATCAGCCGGCTGGACGCTAGTGACCAGTGGTGGGCCTGGGTCTAGCTCAGATCTGAAGAATCCCCAATTCCCACTTTAAGGCATGGGATCCTCCTCCCACCTGAAGTCCAGCCCCCAGCTCTCTGTGGACCTGCCCCCAACTCTACTCTCCATGCCTTTGCATTTCACCTTAAATTTGGTTCCTAGAAGGGACTCTTGCTGTTCCAGTGTTTGATATTGAGAAGGCCTCCTCTGTGACACCCATCCCTGACTGTGCAAGTGACAGACCGTCAGTGTGCCGTGACTGATTCTCCCCTGGGCTTTACTCCCACACGGGGAACGCTGGCATGGGGTGGAGCCCTGGTTCTGCCCACGGCTCTCAGGCTGAGCTCATCTCTACTGCAGGATGAACAGGGTCTCCTCAGCCTGTCTGGGGGGGTCATTGCTGGGCAGCGGCACTGAGGGTGTAGCCTCGGTGAGCTGTTACTAGCGGCTGCCCTACGGTGAAGGGTTGCTAGTGTTGCTGGATTAATTTGGGGAAAACTAAACTGCATTCATCTTTAAAATATAAAGTATTATAATTGTTAATATTTTTGGCAAATGAATTTGTATTCTATAAATACAAATTGAG